TAAGGCTTTTGGTGTTCTGTTTTGACTTGTAAGCATACTAAGCATTCATGTACATATCTTCCAATGTCTCTCTTTAATCCAGGCCACCAATAATCAGCTCTTTTATCATAGTACATTTTACTTGTGCCAGGATGTATTGATAGCTTAGATTTATGAGCTTCATCTAAAATCTTCTGTCTTAAACCACCAATCTTTGGAATCCATAGCCGATTCTTAAATACCTTTAATCCTTGTGGATCGTCAAGTAAAACATCGGAATAATATACCATTCCTTCCTTCTTTACATTTTCTGGCTTTAAGGCTTCAACTTGCCACTTCTCTAGTTCATCAAGAATGGTGAACTTCACCGTAGTGTGAGTAATAGTATAACACATACTATTACGATAAAATTTCCTGCTAAGTGCATCTGCAACCACATTAGCCTTTCCAGGATGGTACAAGATTTCGCAATCATAGTCCTTGATTAGCTCCATGGCTCATTGTTGTCTCATATTCAGAGTTTGCTGACTGAATATATACTTGAGACTCTTGTGGTTGGTGAATCATTGGCATTTCGTACCAAAAAGGTAATGTCTCCAAAGTTTTAGGGCAAATACTACTGCAGCGAGTTCAAGATCATGGGTGGGATGATTCTTTTCATAATCTTTAAGTTGTCTTGAGGCATAGGCTATTACTTTACCATGCTGCATCAACACACAACCGAGTCCCAATCTTGAAGCATCGCTATATACGGAGAAATCATCATCACCTTCTGGGAGTGATAAGATGGGAGCATGAGTTAAAAGATCTTTTAGAGTTGAGAAAGCTTTTTCTTGATCTTCACCCCATTTGAAATTCACTTCCTTCCGTGTAAGGCTTGTGAGGGGTACGGCTATACAAGAAAAGTCTTTAATGAATCTCCGGTAATATCCCACGAGACCTAAGAAACTACGAATTTCGGAAGCATCACGAGGCACTTCCCAATTTTGAATGGCTTCGATTTTGATGGGATCTACAGATACACTGTTACTGGAAATAATATGGCCGAGAAATTGAACTTGACGGAGCCAAAATTCACATTTCGAGAATTTAGCATAAAGTTTCTCCTTTAGAAGGAGTTCTAGGATTTCACGAATATGAATGGCATGATCGGCTTCAAACTTGGAATAGATTAGAATATCATCAATGAATACGATGACAGACTTATCGAGCATTGAGCGGCAGACTCGATTCATCATATCCATGTGTGACATCCCGGAATTTAGGTCATAGATTTCAAACGACTAAACTACGACAAATCTATTTGTAATTAATTCATTTAGCTTTAACTGCATCTAAGGAAATATAAATGAGTTAATTTCAATTATTATATAATATTTGATGATATTTTTATGCCCAAACGTGTAAACTGGTAACCCAATCAAACCGCTCAACTGCAGCGCTGACTAATGCGTCTGAAAATTGAAATTTAACATTTTTCATTTTTGAGCAAAATAAACACAAAAATATGATAGTACATGTTCCCCCATTTCCAAAAATATAAAGAACGTCCAAAACGGAGTTTGTATGCAAAAGATATAACCGCTTTAAGAAAAACGGACAGTAAAACACTTTTATTCTTTAATCGCGTAAATAAAAACGTTCCGTTGAGGCACTTACGCTTTGCCGACGGGATTTTTGAGAGCATTTTTGGACTCAGGATATAGAATATTATTTAATTTCACACTCAAAATAATTCTTACGAAAATATTTATGAAAGTCGCAAAAACGGACACCGCCAACCGTTAAGACGCAAAACTTCAAACGCCATTTCCCGGAGATCCGTAACTCCAAAAATTAATCCGTTTGATGTTCTGGAATCCTTGAATTATACTCTATCTAAAAGTCCTTTCGAAAAAAAATATTCGATGCACGAATCCCAAGGAACCCATTTTCGCATGTTTTGGATATGAAATGGAGGTATAACTCCATGTGGGGCCCCCATGGTGTGATGGACTCCAAAAATCTGATCTCCTTCCAGCTTCCCACGTGCTTCTCCTCTACCTCACTCTTCATCTTGGTTTGCAAGTATCACCAAAAGTACATAAACAGTTGAAGGTATGGCCATTAGTAAGCATGTGTGTGTAGACTTATACTATAAATAGAGGGTTTACTTCACCTGAATCCTCACAAACTAATCGGTTCTTCTTCTCTCTATCACTCCCTCTCTTAATCTCTCCCTCTCTTCCTCTTTCCTTACACCACCACCCACTGCCACTAATATCAAACACCTCCTTCAACCATGGTTTGTTCCTGATTTCAACCACCGAGAGTCTCTCCACCCTCCCCTCTCTTTTTCTCGGGAAGAAGACGCAACAGAAGGCACCAGGAGGCTGTCGGGGACCCTCCTGCCACCACCGACGAACAAACCACCTTCTCTTTTTGTGCTGCTGTGTTGCTGCCACTGTAAGTCCCTACCGTCACCACCTTGTATATTTATTTCCTTCTCATTGTCGATCATAATAAACAACCAAAGAACCATAAAATCATGCGTAATTCTTTTCCTTTGTTTATGCATGGAATTCGAGTGAACACAGGAGGTTAACACCTCCTGTGTAATTGATCGACACTATACAAACATGCATTCCATTTAAATAGATATGATCCCTCAACTTTGAAATTGTCCATTATTAGTCCCTCCATATTTAGAATTATCTCAAATCTAGTTGTTAAACAATGAAAGTTTAATCAAAATATTTAAAACATACCCTAAACTGAACAAATCTTTTCAAAACAAATCAAACTTTAAATACAAAATTAAATGAACAATGTTTATACGTATATATTAGAAATTTTAAAGTTGATTTCAAATAAATTAATTTTGGTTATTTAAAAACTTGCGGAAAAATAATAAATTAAATTTTAAAATTTATTTAAAATAATTTTAAATTTTAAATTGGCAAAAGTTAGGGAATTATTCAAGAAATTGTTATAATACTTAATCACGTCCAAATATTAATATATATCGAATTTCTAGGAAATCGAACTAATCCCGGAGATCACGACCTCACGGCAATACATTCTGGTCTTAAGAACTACTCGTTTACCACTCGATAAGGTGAGAGTTACGGCCCCTTTTGAATATTTTATTTATTCTTGGGGGAGAATACATGTGCTAAATAGTATTTATTATGCAAATACATATGCCTTATATGATATACATGCTACAATTTTAAAAGTTGTAAAGACTTCCATATCTGAATACTAGGCATTACACACTTGTACAATACCATTATGTTAAAATACATATCTCCATAAAAGTGAGTAATTTATACTTTTATAAATACGTCAACCATACTCGACTTTTACAAATACTATACTACGAAATTCATTATGCCCGGTACTTATCTATAATTAAGTTAGGGCTGAGAGTTATTCACAAACTTTTCGTTAATGGTTTTTGAGTGAGACGCTACTATTCATTAGCTGAGTTTAATCACTTAGCCTGCCCCATACTGCTATAATCGTTAATCTTCGGAGCGAGGTACATATATATAGATCTATATGGGTTCGACAACCCCACCTGCGGTTGCTACTACAACCATCGACTGATCAATCGAAGCAGGTGATATGTGTCTACGATCGTTACTACGACGTCCAATGAAGCGTCGTAGGGAGGGGTACCTTTCGTCTATAGCTCGATTATAGAACTCACTAAAAACATTAACATGAATCTCTCTCACTTTTTCACTACAACCACATGTTTGGTTACTTTTAGAAATGTTTTTAAGTATGGTGGTTACTTATACAATGGATATGTTTAAACCTTCATGAAGTTATTACAAACACATTTTCTTCAAAAGCATAAAATTATTTATAAAATTAATTTTTAGCTTTTAAAGACTCATGACAAGCATTGTTTCAACTATCATTATACAAAATATATACATATATATATACATATATATATACTCTTGGACTTTTGAAAGTATTATTACTGCGACTAGCAGAAAACCTGTGACTCTCACCAACCTCGTGTTGACTTTCAAAATACATGTATTCTCAGGAAATCAGTGAAATTTCGGGTACACTCAGACGATGGAAAACTTGGCTCGCAAGTACTTTAATTTTCTACTTTTGAACTGTTATGCCTAACTGTTAAGGCAAACTCGTATTATTATTTTATTACTATCTGTAAGAACTTTGTATGAAAACATAAACATGTAATGAAATGTTGTTTTGTTTATTGTTGTACTTGTGCTGTATATTCAATTTACCTGTGATCCATGAACTTAGTCGCACAGCCCGGCATGTTCCGCCGCCTCGGCCGGGGGTGTGACAGAATGGTATCAGAGCTAAATTGGCTATAGAGAACTCGTATCCTCGAAAGAGGAATACAACTATAGCAACTAGCTTCTTATAAAAGTATTATCAATAATAAAACTACTTCCCGACTACTTACGGTATGGTAGTTGGGAAGTACAAAACAAAGATTAATAATACTACAAACCCCACCAACCTTAATATGTAAGAGTTGATATATATACCCTGACCACGATGAGAACACTTAATAAAAATTCTAAACATCCCTTCAACTAAAACTACCAACTCAACCCTTTAGGTCAAACGCCTCAATTAAAGGTTAGTATCGTACATAAGCCATACCACAAATAAACCTGGAACGCGCGCCTATGTTATTTATGGTCGGGCCGGTGCACAACCAACCTTGAGCAAGGAGTTTGACAAGCTACAACGGTTGAGAGTTTTAGAAGTTGAAGAATATCCATCAGATTCGTTGATGAAGCTTAATACCTTAGACTCCTTTTATCAACCTTAAAACTCTTATAAAAAAAAAAATAATAATAAAAAAAAAATAAATAAATAAAAAAAAATAAAAAAATAAAAAAATAAATTAAAAAAAAAAATAAAAAAAAATAAAATAAAATAAAATAAATAAATAAATAAATAAATAAAAAATAATAATAAAAATAAAATAAAAACTTATACAAATTTACTAAACCGCTTGAAACCCTTCTATGTAGATGGCTGGACTACCAGATAACCCTGATGACTGGTTTCGACTTGAGGATCCTGATGAGCCATTTGGAGTTCCTTTGCATCCACATCCACTACACTTAGCGGGGGATCCGTACTTTCCCATGACGGTCTTGAGGAGGATCCCGAAGAGGATCCTGAGGAGGATCCCGATGAGGAGGAGCTCGAGAATGAGGGCATATTTCAGGATGCCCAAGAGACTGATGATGATGGTCCTGCAGAGGATGAGGGAGACCTCTCCGAAGAGGAACCTACTCCCCTTACCCCACCAGACTCACCACCGAGACCCTACTACCAGCCGTACCTTCTGCGCGGCAAGGGCCCTTGTATGATGAGGACCCCAGGAACTACTATATCTCCTATTTACCACTTGGACCCAGCTGCTCAGGTTTCCCGACCCACTAGTGGTCTATTAGGGAAACGTAATCGACCCAGTGAGCCATCTTGGCTCACAGACCTCCTTAGCAGGAGGGATGCTACTGATCTACCACCACGGTTTGAGGTTGGTGAATCTTCACGAGCACCACTCAGGTTTAATCCTGAGGATGATCCGATACCTCGCTTGATGACTCAGATTGATCAGACCGGGGATAGGATTAGATCCTTGGAGCAGTTTGTGAGAGGTCCAGACTCTACTTCCCTCGACCATCGAGTTGAGACACTCGAGGAAGAGGAGAAGGAGAATTCTGATGCGATCCAGATATTATATCATCTCTCGGGTGCTGATCATGATGCAGTGAATGCCTTGAGTGCTCAGGTAAGAGCACAGAACTACCGGATTCAGATCATGGAGAGCGAGCTTGCTGCGTAGCGAAATCAGTTGGTTATCTCTGCGCAGGAACAACGCTACATCTTGGACCAGTTCGAGGACTTTGTCCTCTATGTGATGACTCGATTTGGGAGGTAGATATCTAGGGCAACTTGTGTCCTAGGATAAGGTTAGGACTTTTGAGGAATAGCTTTTGTATTGCAAGTGTTTATCACTGCCTGGTTTGTAATAGCTCTTTTGAAAAGCTTTCTATTTCTAACCTTATATGGTTAAAACTTTGTAACCAAACAAGCAGTTCTGATGACAATGTTTCTCTGTTTTATTAAATGTTTGTACTTATTATGTATTACTTGCAAAACTCTATATATCAGGAAAAGCTTTCATTTTCTGGTTTCGCAAGAAAAACAAATTGAACAAATACAAAATACACACACATTATAACTATATGGTTTAAAAAAAAATTAACTTACTTATCTAACGTATTAGGATAATGCCTCGACGAAAAGAACCACGAGTTCGTCCACCACCGACTCCCCGAACTAACAGGAGAAGTGCTCCAGAGATAACTCAAACAACAGAAGAAACTCCAGACCCTGAAGAAACCCCAAGTGCTACAAATAACCACCAAAATTTCCAGATGGATCCCACCATGATGCAGAACATGCTTGCACAAGGGATTGCTACGGCCTTGGCGACTTATGAGGCAGCTCGAAACGGGAATACTGGAAATAGCGGAAGTGGTACTCCTGTAGTTGCCCAAAGAAATCCCAAACACTGCTCATACAAAGAATTCATGGGTTGTAAACCCCGATCCTTCTACGGAACTGAAGGAGCTGTTGGCCTATCCCGATGGATAGAGAAGATTGAAGCTGTCTTCCACATCAGCTCTTGCCCGGATGACTGCAGGGTTAAGTACGCTACCTGCACACTGATGGATGCTGCCTTAACTTGGTGGAACAACCATGCCAAGACCGTGGGAATTGCGGAAGCCTATGCCATGGGATGGGAACAGCTGAAACTAATGATGACTAAAGTGTATTGCCCACGACAGGAGATTCAGGCATTAGAACAAGAACTCTGGAACCTAACCATGCAAGGATCAGAGGTAGCTGCTTATACCTCCCGATTCGAAGACCTTGCAACTCTTTGTCCCGGAATGGTACCTTCAGAAGACAAGAAGATGGAGAGATACATTTGGGGATTAGCATCGCCAGTCCAAGGTCTGGTTACTGCATCCAGACCCTCAACTTTGATAGTGCCAAGCAGCTGGCCTATGAGTTGACTGAACAATGTATCCGACAAGGCACCATGGCCCCTGCAAAAGAAAAGAACCAAACTGGGAAATCTAAGAGAAACTTCCAGGGAAAGCCAAAAGGGAACTTCAAACACCGTAAGCGAAACCAGAGCCTGTAACGGTGTATGCTGCAGTCACAACCACTCCCACTCCAGTAAAACCCTACGCTGGAACTCTACCTCGCTGCCCTAAGTGCAATTATCATCATGTTGGAGACTGCAGGATATGTAGCAACTGCAAATTAAGCGGTCATACCACCAATTTTGCAAAAAAACCAAGCAACACAGTTCAACTACTACCGCAAGAGAAAGTCGAACCTGCTTCGAGTGCAACCAACATGGACATTTCAGGAAAGATTGTCCTAAGCTGAAGAGACAGGGTGGTCAAGGAAGGGCATTTGTGATAGGTGCGGGAGACGCACGCCAGGAACCAACTGTGGTTACTGGTACGTTTCCTATCAACAATATTTATGCTCTGTATTATTATTTGATCATTGGTGCTGATAAGAGTTTTATTTCCCACAAATTTAGAAAAATGATTAATCATGAATCATGCAAACTCAATAATGCTTACACGGTAGAAGTAGCCAATGGTCAAATAGAAAGCACCTTAGAAATACTCACCAACTGCCTTCTCACCCTGAATAATCACGTGTTCCCTGTCGACTTAATGCCCATAACCATTGGAAGTTTCGATGTATCATCGGAATGGATTGGTTATCAGCCATCGAGCGGAGATTTTATGT